TTACAGCTTTTTTCCTGTTGGAGATTAATTTATAATAAATTTGTAATGTGCTGGATTGCATTTTATGCTTATTCTGTGATAGTAACTTCAAAGAAAGCTGTGATTAAAAAATAGTTTACTATGCTTTGTGCACGAATATTTTTACTGATTCAGCAGCTCAGCCTGTTTGAATCAAACATATCGACTAGTTGCTTGCCATGATTTCAACTTAAAACTACAATTTCTGTTGTTTTAAGACGTATTTAAGTGCAACATGCGTGACAAACTGAAAGAGAAAGTGCTGGACATCACATGCTGCGGTTGTGGGTGTCACGATGCCATCTGCAAAAGTGTTTCAGTTCTGTCTCTCCTCTCATCTCTCCTAGCGACAAACTAAAACGCTTGGTTTTGCCTGGCTGTACATCATCTGTGATGGGACTCTTGTAGTCGACAAAATACACACGCAGAACCTGTGGGCTGCCTCTGCCGCTTTTTTTTTCTGTCTTGTACAGAGCTGGGATGATTTCAAGTGTAATTACTTAGAGCAGACACTAATGCATTTCAATTTGCACTTTGTTTTACAGGTTGGTTTGTCTTCAGAAATGTTAATAGCGAAAATTTATACGGCACCTATGGTTAGAGACAAATAACGTTAATGAGTGTTGGGGTTGCGTCGAGCCAACGTATGTAGAAGAACTTCAGTTTGAATAGTACTCCAACCTTTGTACCATACCATTAATTTGAATTGCTAAAACTCTGTGACCTCCTTGTGGAATAGTCATGAAGCCTGTATGCAAAGATCTGCAGAGCAAAGGAACGCTGCACACACAAACAACAAATGATGAAAAACGAAAAAAAAGGAAAACCACAAGAAAAAGGTATAAAAATTAGTATTTGTATTATGACGAGATGACGATACACCACCATACTCTGTGTGCTACAGAACGTGGCACGCACCGTGTACATGGGTACAAACGAATCTGTACAGTATGACACGTCTCGCCGGCTATGAACCGTTCCTTTGGCTCTGGGACCCCGGGGCTCTGGCACAGAACCCACCTGCCAACACCTTCAGGTAACAGTTTGGGGAAGAGCAGAAGGCTCTGTCAGTGCTTCACGTGCACCAGAATTTCATCACGTAGCAACCCGTGTCGCACAGACCCTTCCAGTGACATCAGTCGCGTGATGATGGAAGGAGGGAATCCTGAAACGGGAGCGCCTTCGCTCAGCTTTGCCAATGGGTGAGTCTCTGGCTGGGGGCGCCTCCCCAGGAACCCTTTGCTGGGGTTCATTTACAGCACTTCAGGTAGAGAGAATGGCCAAGGTGACCAAATGGTTTCTGGTCTTCTCTGCTTCGTACGTCCCCTGCATTTTAATTCTAGGTGGTTACGCAACAGGCTTGGGTGTTTCTTTTGCAACTGCCAATTAACAACAGTGCATTCATTTAGTCAGTTGCTTAAGCAAATTGGCTTGTTTAATTGCTGGCAAAATTAATTTCAGATGTGTTTGCCCCCCTAGTATTTGTAGGGAGTAAAGCTCTTCCTTAAAATGTATCTAAAGGGATTCAATTCTCTTTCCACCACAGATCACAGGATGGTTTGGGTGGGAAGGGACATTAAAGCCCATCCAGTTCCACCCCCTCTGCCATGGGCAGGGACACCTTCCACTAGACCAGGTTGCTCAAAGCCTCATCCAGCCTGGCCTTGAACACTTCCAGGGATAGGGCATCCACAGCTTCTCTGGGCAACCTGTGCCAGTGCTTCACCCATTTTGGTAAGTGTAAATTAGTGGATTAAGTATCAACACAGTTACCGGCTCTTACCACATACAACCAATGGCCTCTAATAGTTAAAAACTAACAGATTTTTGAAAGACTAATCTCTTTTTCAGACATCCCTTTATCAACACCATCATAAAATGAAGTGTATAAAATTAAGATTGCTCGATTAAAAGCTGTGATGATGTGGTACTTTTCAAAAACGGGTCTCTTCCACGGGGCTGATGTGCAAGGCTGAAAAATTTCATCGTTGATTACCAGTCTGCTATAAAGCTGGTAAAATGGTGAAACAATGACTTCTCACAGTATCAGAGACTGCTGTAAATACCTCCAAGAAAAGCAGAAGTACATCCTGCGGCTAAACACGCCACAGGGCTCGGTCCGGGAGCAGGTCTGCAGGCGGAGCTTATGCACACGCAACTTCACCCCTTCCCGTTTCTTCCCAGTTCTCTTATTCTGAGTTCATCTGCTGAAGTGGCTTATGTGGAGCATAAGGCCCAGAATTACGGTATTTATCCCAGTAATTGATTTGTTGATCAACAGAAGTCACTTTTTTTTAAGACAAAGTTACATTAGGCTGCGTGTGGTAGAGGTGAAGCCATACTCATCCTTGTCAAGAAAAATAACACCGCTTAAGGTCAGAAAAAAAAAATTAATTCTTTAAGTTACATTCAAGTTGTATTAGATTTTAATTCCTTTTTTCCCACCCCAAATCCTACATTAAGAAATTAGGAGAGAAAGCACTGAAAAATTGCCTTTCTCATGGGTTTTGGGGGTCTTTTTATTTCTGCATGAAACTGATAAAACTCACTCTGAGTTGAGTTTGGTTTCTGCACAAGACAACACAGGATCTGGTCTGTGGGTACCAACGTGTTGTAAAATTTCACCTGGCCAAACCCTGCTCTTTTCAGCAGACAAATAAAACAGCTGCAGTGGGCCTGGGTAGGTACAAGTTGGGCAGGAAGAGGATGGGTGTGAAGGAGGATTCACGCCCCGAATCGCAGAGGAGCATCTGCAGAAAAAGCTGACGATTTTAAGCTGTTTTTTAATGCCTTTCTCCTGCGGTGACAGTGCCCTCCCGGAGCTAGAAGAACTGAAGCAGGAGCAACGAAGAGGCGTGTATCCTCCCGGCACCTGCCTGCTGCAAGGGAAAGCACTTCCTTTCTGCTCCCACCAGGAAACCAGCCAAACCTCTGCGTCTCCATAAAAAGAACTTCTCGATGACTTCATCTCTCCAGAGCCTTTTCCACAGAGGAAAAGACCTAGCAGCCCTGTCATCTTGTCCCTGCTCCTCCTTTTCCTACGTGGCAATCGCAGAGAAGGCGGGTTAGCTGCGCAGTAGTGTCTCCTCAGCCGCGCACACATGGCCAAGACGCGAACGAGTAGAGCTGTGAGGCGGCGGCAGCCTCTGGTCTCGCAGGACGCTCTTTGTAGTCACGGAGCCGTTGCAGGGACGGATGCCCGGATGCCTACGCACGCGACATCCAGCTTAAGAAAAACGGTAACAGTGGAACACTACGGGCATCCCAAGGCGCTGTGGCCACAGGTAGCGCTGCGCTGGCTGCTCGACAGCATGCGACTCCATCCCTAAAGGCATGTCAGAGCTCCGGTGGCTGTCGCGGCCGGGGCAGAGCTGGACTCCGCGGCATTGCTGGGGCGGGGGGGGGCAGGCAGCCGCCCAAACCAGCCACCAAATCCAACACCCAAACAGTTGTGCCACTGCCTTCAGCTGGGCTGCTTCTGTCCCAGCTGCAGAGAAGGGCCTGAAGTAGCACCTCAGACCGGGCCGCCCTGGAGGGAGAACGGCACAGGCAGGACGCACGGTGCCGGCGTCCTTCACCGGCGTAACAGCCCCCAGCTGTAATAACTGAAAAAGTGAAAACAAATAAACCCTTTTTATTTCCACTCAAGATTATTCGAGTAATTTTTATTGAAAATATAAGATCTACAAAGCCATGGATACCCAGCGTGGAAGAACTCATTAAGTTAGCACATTCATCTTTAAAAGGAAAATTTCAGGTCGACCTAAGGTACAATAATGTTCAATTTAAAATCTCGTTTTTCCTTCTGTAAGTTTCAAATCTCTTTTCAGTAGGTGGTTCTGTGCAAGAGCTGCTTGTCATGAAAGGAAACACTTTACAATTCATGAACGTGTTCATTATATAATAAATGAACAGCAACAATATACTAGCCTTTTTTTTTTCCTGTTAACAGTCGTGTGTTAAAGTAAACTCTTTTTTTTTTTTTTTCCATGATTTGGAAATTAGTTACATATGCACCAAAGGAGCTAGTAATTTCTGCTGCTTGTCAGCTACACACAATGAGTATATTGCTGTGTGCTTTCCCCGACAACGAGGATTTTAGTAATATGCAAGGTGTATAGAACGTAATACCAAAACCTGCATCACAGAAAAGGTTAATTTTCGTATTCAGCTGCCAGAGTCGATAACCTTAGGCCCCTCCCCAGAGCCAAAGTAGGGGTGGCCGTCCATTAGGTTATGTAAATTAAATGTATAGGTTTTCCTTGTTGGCAAGTTCCAAGCAGTAAGCGAGAGTGCAAACAAGGATCTGTAAGCTGCCACAAAATGTATTCATGTTTCTACTCCGTGTTGTAAGAGCCAAAGGGAGGACACGTATGTCAGATGTTGAAAGAACAACCGAATCTTTGTTTTGGATCACTACGGTCAGTCTGTCATGAGGTCTTGTATCCGAGTGCTAAGAATGGCACCACACTTGGACATCCCATAGCCTTACACAGTACGTTTGCGTTTCCCTAGCCACTGCGCGCTGGTCTCACAGAGACCCCGACTTCATACGCGAACAAAATACAGATTCGGGTGCTGAAGAACCCAAGGGAGGGCTTACACAGAGACAATTAACCCTCGCACCAAAACCTAACTTTAGGATTTTACTTAAAGCCACACTGAATCAGCTGTGAGAGGGTGAAGATCCGAATGCACCTCTCTTCTTCATCCCTAGGAAGGTGGACAACTGACCGTTCGAACAGAGGGTCTTGAAACAAAGCTTCGTTGTCCTTTAAACAATGAAAAGGAGAGGCATACATAAATGGTCACCAAGGCACAATATGACAAAGGTGAAGAGTCCCTGAGACTCTGGTCTGGGTCTGTACCATTCCCCTCCCTATACAAGTAAATGAGAACATTTAGGAAAATATAATACAAAATCTCTTACAGGAAATATAGACTACACTTGCTAAAATCACTTCCCTAAAAGTGTTTATAGCTTTTTTCTTTTTTTTTCTTCTTTTTTTTTTTTCTTCTTTTTGTTTTTTTAAAAGACCTTCTTTAAACAGATAATGCAAAGACTGGTCCATTTTTTTTTTTCTTACCCGGCAAGCCAAGCTCTAATGACTTCACTAAGCAGAAGTTGTATTAAAATACACCTTCATAGTATTGCTACAATTTGGGTAAATATGTTCTGAACAGCTTGATGAGTACTAAATAAACTTTGCTGTTTTACAGCATACATTTAAATTTTTTTGCACTTTTTTAAGAATAGAAAATGCAATTATAGTGTGCAAAAGAAAAAAAATTATCTTCTAGCTGAATACTGTAATTTTAAGCCATGCCTTCCATAAAAATGTATTGACATGTGTAAATAGAAGAAAAGAAAAAAAAAAAAACCAAGCAAACAGAGATTTCATTTCCTTGCAAGGAAAGATGAACTATCACAAATTGGATCGCTCGAGTTCTGTATTCTTCCGACAGAGAAATGAAAAAAAACAACCCAAAAAACCACTGAAATGCTTCAAATGTCATCCATTCCACGGTAACAGGTTAAAATTGCAGTGTTGCTTTCTACTGCCCCCGTTAACATGGGCCGAATGACGTGCTGCTGGTTGGCTACTGAATACAAAAAAGCGAAAGAAAGTAGAGATCATCCCACATGAAGTCATTGTTAGAGCTGGCTTTTTCCCCGTTTTGAAGTACAGTAGTGACTTGTAAATATGACCTTTTCTAAAGATCATCCGAGATTTGAAGATTTCTCTGCCTGCTTCACCCAAACAACAACTGCTGAATGAATTTACTCTGTAGAGTCCGCTGTACAGCGTTTCAAATGTTTTGGGGTTGTTTTTCCGTGAAAAAAATACCACAAAAAGTAGTTTTAGGGTTTCGTATCTCTGAATCGCTAACACACTGTAGATTCCATTTATTCTTCCATGTTTGAAAATGGTTTCTGCAAAAATCAAAATAACTGTCAAACTTCCTTACACCATGCTTCCAAACAGTTTCAATTTAATACTTCTTGAATGGAATGACATAATTTATTTTCTTTAATTTGCAGTATGGCTACATCAAGCTAGCTTTAAGTCACAACTGTACCTAACCACAGTTCTCTGCAGCAAACCCATGATTTACAATATCTAATATTGTGGTTACAGTGCAGGGAACCGTGGGTAAGAAACCTCCATGTCTGTGGTTGGGGTTTCCCGGAAGAGTGGCAGTTGACACCTCTGGAATATTCATAGATAAGTGCTTCAGTCAGATGGTCCTGAGTTGAACGGGTAACTCAGGCACTATGAGAGCCTGGCATTCAGTCTGCGGGAATGTGTGTAACCTCCGTCACTCGAACCGCTTTGCAAACTGTAGTGGTCTTCAGCATCACTGGCACTTCCAATACTGTCCATTTCCCCTGGAGTAAACTCCATTCCTTCAATGTCTACTTCTAAAGACAAAAATAAGAAGGCACATTTTCAGAAAGGCAGTGGCTGTAGGAAGTAACCGGGGGCCAGTGGCAATCAACCCTCAGGTGAACCCTCAATCACACTTCATTTTCTGTAATTAAAAGAACTGGAACAGTAATTCCTGAGGAAAGGATCACCTTGTCCACCTGAGAATGAAAATCCCTTCTGTCCTCATCCACCAAAATACACTGCATGACATCAGCACCAAACGCCGACCCAGAACTGTCCCAGCCTGTGCACAGACACCGATTTAACCCCACCCCCAGCCCTCAAAGGCCGCGATACCGTAGCACGGTTCACGCTAATTCCAACTTCTACAGGTGTCAGCGAGTAGCCACCGTGGCATGGCCGTCCGTCCACCGGGAACCGCAGCATGACCCACTACTCCCAACTACTGGGCCCTGCAAAAGGCAGCCGCTGCCAGTGTTTGGGCACAGAGAAACTTCACGTGAGAAAATAAGAAATGGTGACAGGCAGCTTGTAGAGCTCTGTTTTACATGAGAACCAAATGTGGAGAACACTCAGCGGCCGTTACGCAGGAAAAATTTTAAATTTCACAATAAATGAGGTGGAGTGAATTTATCCAAATGAATTAAGACCACTAACATCTTTTTTTCCCCAAGAAGAAAACATTATGCCAGCCTTAGCAATAATTACTCTAAAGATTCAGGACATTAAATGGCAACGGTTTAAAAAACTGACAGAAACACGTGCAGTACGAATAGCTCCAAAATCAATTAGAAAAAAGGAAGTTTTTCAAATAACGTAAAAAGCTGCAGTAGTTTTTTTATTCTGCAAATCGCTTATTGGGACAATTTTGTCTGGGTTTTGTTGAAAGCTTGATTTTAGTTCTAAATAATGTTTTCTTGCTTCCCCACTTCCCTTTTCCTTCCTGCTCCTGCGTCTCCCTTCGGGAAGCTCTCGTTCAGTTACCTTGTTCAGAGTCGGTGGATATTGTTGATCCCATGCTGTCAGTGCGGATACGCTCCATGCCCTGCACGGATAGCTGCTCCAATCTGCGTTTGAGGTAGCGGTGTTCCCGCTGCAATTGTTCTTTAATATTTAGAGCTTTTCGGTCCTGTTCTTCCAATTTCTTCAAGGGAGAGAAAGATAGTAAGCCGACAGTTTTCACTCGTGTTAAAACGCAAGTCATTAAAGTTCTTCTCATAAACAGTACTTTTAAAGCAATCTAAATATTTTAATTGATTTAACATTAAAATTTAATGGTTTTTTGGTTGCTATTCTACCGAGGCCAGTCCAATTTAAGCAGGCTAGGCCAGAGCTGAATTTGTTTCACAGCAAGATACATGGACACGGCGGGGGAGGAGTGAGGGGTAGGGGAAACACCCCAAAGCCTCAGAAACTCTTTTGCCACTAGCAGACCTTGCTCGGCTAAAAACAAATTACTGTTGCCCTGGTTGTGGGGAATATTTACATCATTTTGTCAGGCAAAACACGTCTCACCTTTGACAGCTAGAGCGCAGCTCAGGTTTCAGTCAGAACGTAAGCACTGCAGGCCCCCTGAATGCTGTCCCTCCTTTCACAGGCCGTGGAAATTTTTAGCGTTTAAAAAGTTTCATTAACAGTAAGCAGTATTAATTACAGAGGAATCTACCCACAATTGTGATAACCTATAAAACCGGTGGTATATTAATCCAAAGCTTCCTAGCAAACAGCCTGTGAAAGGATCCTTCCGCACATCTACCTAAAATCTCCCCTCTGCTTGAATAAAAGAAGGTATTAATTTTGGAAATAAAAAGGCCACTTCACACCTGGTAAAACGTGCTGTGCTGTTGGTCCAAATGCAGTATCTTTTAAGATACTGAACCCTCTGCCACATCACTGACAGCCATTTAAAAAAAAAAAGACTATATAATTAGGGAAGAAAGTGTAACGATGGGATCAAAAGCAGGAAGGACACACAAATCAGAACACCTTGTAGTATTTAAAAAAAAAAAAAATCTAACTGATGAGTAAATCGCAGGTTGCAGCAGTAAAA